TGAAAAGTTCATTGACTTTATATACAAGAAAGAGTTCAAGTCTGATTCTTCACTACATCCACTGTTGATGTCAGAGGCATCAGTAAGTAATACTAGAGCTATCTATGATCGATGGTTCCCTTGTTCTATAGGAGGAAGGAAGTTCTAGCCGTTTTTCCCTTCAAAAAATAAAACATAAATTATTTAAATGAATAAAATTTCAAACTGACACAACATATGTGATACAAGTAGATAGTATTGTACCAGGATCGGAGCAATGACAGACAGACAATTAAAGGGACATGGTCCACCAGCATCCCTTTCGAGCTTTTGTTTATGTTTGAAAATAAAAATACATCGTAATCTAAGCAAAGACTTACTCTTTATTATTCCTTTATCCTATGAATGGAGATGCTTTAAGATTCGACCGTTAAACCAATGGATGGAAACGGATTGCAAATGTATATTCGAAGTCACCTCATTTTCCATTATGAAAAATCTAAAACATGACCACATTGCATGCTAGTGGACCATGTCCCTTTTAATGACTTGACTAGCTTTTTTCTGTTGATGTCTGATTCTTGTATGTTTGTTTTAGTGGAACGTCCGAGCCAAACGCGAAAAACTGACAGAGGTTATGTTTGAAACATACAATGTACCTGCATTTTTTGTATGTAAAAATGCAGTCTTAACAGCATTTGCTAATGGAAGGTAAGCATAACATGTTTGGCTAATGTCGCAATGGTACAGTTAATGTCTAAGGTCTATTGGACTATTAATTAGTATAAACATACTAATGGTCTATCACTCATACTGCGCTGTGATTGGCTACTCTACTAATGGTCTAATTTGTGATAGACCACTCACGGGAAAATCAAAATAAATAAATTATAAATTATTTTAAGGATATTTCAATTTGTTTTCATTATTTGACCGATTAGTATGTTTATACTAAAACAATTAGACTCGGCCTCATGGGCTATTTGCTCGTAGTCCACTCGACCTTGAGGTCTAATTGTTAATTAGTTCATAAATTATTAATGAGTCTTTTAAAAATCACTGATTATTAAGGGATATTATTTTCCAGGTCAAACGGTTTGGTAATAGATTCAGGCGCAACTCAAACAAGTGCAGTCCCAGTGCATGATGGRTATGTTCTACAGCAAGCCATTGTCAAGTCTCCTTTGGCTGGGGATTTTATAACAGCACAGTGCAGACAGCTAYTGGAACAACACAACATTGAAGTTGTTCCTCCTTATATGATTGCAACAAAGGTACAGTATTCAGAGCTATGAAGCCAACTATGTTGTCGGGCAGTTATTTCATCATGTGTCCCTTAGTGTGGATGGGTTCAGCCAATAAAATGACTGCTCGCCAACATAGTCGGCTTCATAGCTCACTAGAGCACTGCACCAGCATCGCAGAGTTCAAGGGTTYGATTCCCATTGAACCCCAAATTTTTTGGGGGTGATCCATACATTTCTTAATAATCGCTTCTAAGATTGTTATCTACACTGCGATGATCATATAAATTCATTACACAGAGAATAAAGTAGACAAAAACCATGAAGAAAACWATTCATTCATTTACCGTCCCATTCATTTATTTATCCATCCATATTTTTCTCCATCAGGAAGCAGTCAAAGAAGGTGCCTCCCCTGTTTACACAAAAAAAGCTAATTTACCACCAGTGACCAAGTCGTTTCAGAGATACATGGCGAATGTAAGTCTACTGGACACGGTCATTCAACAATCAAAATTAGTAGAATATGATTTGTTATCTTTTGTGACTGGCTGTAGAGCGGATTTCGTATGATTGGGAAACGGACGGTACTTTACTGTGACCGTAATTTGTACTGTAACCAAATTCTAGTGCCCCATTGGTTCACCAAAATTGTGCAGGCCAGGTGCGGTAACTGTGCGGTAACCGTGCGGTAACGGTGTCCCACTCATACGAAATCCGCTCTAATTGGTTAGTTTATTGACATGTTTGACAGCTAAGGCATTACAAGAAAGTTAAATTGTCTATGTTTGTAACAAGAGCCAAAATAGAGCGGATTTACCGTGCGGTAACGGTGTCCCACTCATACGAAATCCGCTCTAACAACCACCTCTTTTACAATTCATACATGTATATTTACCAACAGGAGGTGATCAGAGATTTCCAGAAAAGTGTGTTACAAGTTTGCGATGGAGTCTATGATGAAGGGTAAGCTTTCTAGTACTTCAAAGTCGATGCTCAATAATGTCCATTCTTATGGTTATATTTCATTGTTTTCTTGTTTGTTTAAATTTGTTTTAAGGAACATGATCCCTTTCGAACTTTTGCCCATGTTTTAAAATTAATATCGTCGTAATATAAGCAAAAACTTACTATTATCCCTTTATAAGTTCCATGGAGATAGTTTAAGATTTGACCGTTAAACCGATGGATGGAAACAGATTGCAAATGGATATTTGAAGTCACCTCATTTTCCATGTATGAAAAATCTAAAACACGACCGCATTGAATGGTTCATTAAATGCATGTCCCTTTTAAGTACTTTAWCTTCAGAAATATTTTCTTCTTTTTTAGGATTCTCAACAGCATACCCTTAGTTTCGTATGAGTTTCCCAATGGTTATAACAATTCTTATGGTTTAGAACGATTTAGGATATGTGAAGGGTTGTTTGATCCCTCTAATGTGAAGGTTAGTCTCTTGAATGGGTACCGTAAAAACCCCGCATATAAGAACACCTATTTTGGCGGTTCAGGCTGATTTGGTTCTTATATAAAGGGTTATAATCTGCAAAATCAGCCTCTAAGTGTTCTTAAAATAAGGAGCATACATGTACTTGGGTACCAATAGATGAAATCAATATATATATATGTATAATTTTAATTAATCCTATTTTAATTAAAAAAAACTGACAAATCAATGTGTGCAATGAAAAGTACTGTTGATCTTTGATATGTTTCCATATAAGAACAACTTTCATTTTTCAGGCTGAATGTGTTCTTATATAAATGGTACTTTATTTCCTAAAATTTATTTTGGTTTTGGTTTTGTACAGGGCATAGAAGGAAGCACAGCGATGGGTGTGACTCAGGTTGTCACTACCAGTGTAGGGATGACAGACATCGACATCCGAGCTGTAAGTCTCCTCGCAGTCGTGCTTAGTTTCGGTCACGCGTCACGCAACTTTTCCACAGAGGTTGCTTGGCGCGTGACCGAAACTAACACATCTGCGAGGAGATTATATTGATTGAATAGCATATATATATATTTGACTGTGAATTGTTATTGATGTTTCAGGGTCTGTTTAATAGTGTGATAGTWACTGGTGGTAACACATTACTGTCAGGGTTTGTAGAGAGACTTAATAGAGAGCTTTTGTCTAAAACACCACCGGTACGTCAAGTCGCTCTTCCTTTTTGCATTCCTTACTCCCAAGTTTCATTCATCCCATCTTTCCTCCCTCCCTCCGTCCGTCCTTCCTTCCCCTCCCTTTTTCTTTTCTTTCTCATTCCCTTCTTTCTTTCCTATCTTTCTTCCTTACTACTGCCTTCTTTCTCTCTCCCTGTCTTCCTTTCTCTCATTTGCTTTTCGTTTCTCCTCCCTTCTAACTCATAATACTTTCATTCATACATTTAAGCTGCGCGTTAGCTGTGTTTCAAAATGGCACTTGCTTATCTAATAGATCGTAAAAAGCTTTCGGTCGACAAATAAACTCCATCTTCGTCACATGTCCATTAAAGAGGATTTCGTATGGCTGCGTTAAGTCACGGATCACTTCACGCATACGAAACGGTAACAGAACCTCACCTGGTGGTGCCGCAAAATGAAAATATTGACTCAAAAACACATCACCGTCAAGACACGGCACGGACACTGCTCTAAAATCGTACGAAATCCACTCTAATGCCTGGATATTAAGTGGGAGTGTTTTTACTGTTTAAGCCGGTATTGTCCTTTTAATCCTACACTTTTTTATTAGAGTATGAGACTGAAGCTGATATCCAATGGTAATTCGACTTTTGAAAAGCGTTGTAACTCGTGGATAGGAGGATCAATCTTAGGATCATTGGTGAGCAGTAATAAGCTCTTCTTTGTATGAACCTCTATAAAGCGGTCACTCTGGGAAAAGACCTGGTGACCGGTTTCTAGAGGTTAACCGGAGTCTAACAGTGGTTAAGTTTGCAGTTAATATATACACAAGAAGAGAATTTCGGGAAATTTTTTAACTGACCGCTTAATACGGGGGTGGCTGGGAGGCTGTGATAACTTCTAGAACTCATTAATAATTCATGAGCTATTAGTCCAATGAGCATCGAACTATTGGGTCACATGATGGGCCTTTATATCCCGTTAAAAACCGAATCGATTGCTTTATTGATAATTGGTTTTTCAAACGCGAAAAAAAAAAAAAAAACATTTCCAAAACTAGGGCATCAGCACGGCTTTTTTTTATCTTTTCGAGTCAACATCCAGGCTTGAACAGAGAAAATTTCCCGAATTTCTTCCTCATGAAAGATATTTACAAGAATGCTGAAGTCATAGTCCAAAAAATATCTAGTTTGAGCCGAACTTTATTGTTGAAAGATGTTTTTTTTTTCTTTTTCTCAGGGTTCATTTCAGCAGATGTGGATATCAAGAAAAGAGTACGACGAACAGGGAAAGGGATGCGTAGAAAGAAAATGTCCTTAAACGTTGTGCACGCGCGAGCTCCATTGTATTATAGTCCCTCCTCGTCATTCCGCTGTACGCTGTTACTGCATGCAACTCTCGTCAGTACATGTATTTGTAACACCGCTGTACGAAGTGACTGTGACTCCGCTGTACAACGAGATCGTGGTTTCTTTTTTTACTTGTATCTCCGCTGTTCGATATGACTACAACCGCTCTTTATTGTAGTTGAGGTTTCATCTTTACTTGTGACTCCGCTTTGTTATGAAATTGCAGTTTCGTTTTTTTAACTTTATATATAACTCCGCTGTGCAATGAGATTGAGTTTTCGGCCTTTGTCATTGYTTGTGCGCTGTACAAAGCGATTTTCGGAGACCTTGAAACAAAGTACATAAAACGAATTCGATTAAGTAGGTAGGTTTCTTGAACCAAATGGCGCTCAAACAAATTATTTAACTTTCCGCGTTCGTCGAAAACTTCCTCTCACAACTGTTAACCACAAAGCGCGGTCCAGCAAAACGAGCAGACCGATGTACAAAACATTTGTGGGAATATAGAATAATTTTGTAATGAATGTGTAATGAACATGTTAACTTATAGTGTAGTCTCAAGTGTCGTTTCTKTTGAGTAAGGTAGAAATACGAACTCAAATCAGATATTATAAATATACGCAGGCCCGTAGGGGCTTCCTTACAAATGGGGGTGGTGGTGTGTGTGTGTCGGGGGGGGGGGGGGGGAAATAATGCGGACATAAATTAAATATTGGACTAAATTAGTTTACTAGAAGTTTACATTTTCCCATTGGGAAACATATATGACAACCTCTGTAATTGAGACTCCTTTCTTTCTCCTCAATCATTTCTTTACTCTTTATTTACAATTTTCAAGTAAAGCCATCAATATGAAAAGCTATTAGTTTAACATACAAAGTATTTCATACTTTTGATTTTTATCGTATATATATATTCGCCTATTTCAAAAAAACGTTGGGGAGAACGGCGATTGCCGATTGTTGAACACGGGACTGAGGTGGCACTGTTTCGACAAACAAAATTTAAAAAAATACAAATAAAATATAAATCAGCAGGGCCGTAGCCAGAGTGAACGGATAACCGAGGCAAGCGACCACCTTGAAGAACTAGGGTTCGAGGACATTCCCATCTGAGAAAATTTGAAATTCAGTTTCTCAGAAATGCGATTTGCAGCGTTTTGTGTGCCCTTTTGGGGCTCTATTGAACAGATTTAGCCGGCATTGATCATGCAATATTTCATATGAAACAAAGAAGCTATACGTTAATATTATTTTATATTTTTTGCACAAAGTCAGTCTAATATCAGGCTAAGATGATATCAGTGATGAAACAAAAACCATCGTCAAAATTTTACCGAGGCAGGTGCCTCGGTTGGCCTCTTACTAGCTACGGCCATTCAGTTGTTATTTCTCATCAATTAGTAGCAAAACCCATGCCTCCTTTCGGTCGTGATATCGCCTTTTCGACAACTGACATCTTGATTCGCCATTTTCTCCGACAATCTAAGTTTTTTGAAATAGCTGTATATATGATCTATGTGTCATGTTAAACTTTTTACATTTTTTTTTTGTCGTTGTGGTTGTTTTACAGCTTTCAAAAATCCTTATAACAGAGTGTATCAGAAAATGAAGCAGTAGAAAGAAACAGTGACATAAAAAAAACTACGGTTATTTGAACAAATTCTAACCATTACAATGTACATGTATGAATTTTTTTCTGGTCTTATGTCGGAACTTGCGATTGTGTTCTGCCTGGTTGGCGCTAGTCCAGAACTGGACCCTCTTTTATCCACTCGCGAAATTGAAAACTATATTTGAATCAACGTACTCAATTTTTTTGCCGAGCGCGCACGTTAGTTATTCAACTAAAGTATACTGAATTTATAACAATCACGTTTTTTTCAACACCTTTTCACTGTTAGTTTTAAAAATGTTTACATTTCGGCGCACGCAAAAATCCACCGATTTTTCTTCATTTTAAAAGCCTTAATAAAGAGTTTTTCAACATACTTTGTTTGAAAAATTACGCAAATCCGCCGTTTGAGACCGTCGCTACAAAACCTATTCGAAAACGCAAATACAAACTGTCAAAACGACAGCTATACACCGGTTAACTTGCATATTTACTGGAATTATAATTCAATTTATACATGTTTTACCGCAGGAATTTCAGTACCATTTTAGTATTTTGTATGCAAATTATGCATATAAGTTATATAGTACAGTCATTTATAAATTTATTGAGCATATTTTGACAATGTTTTTCGATCTTAAATCAARTACCAACCATTGACGAGAAGACACCCTTTCTTGGCATTCCCTTCTTGCAGCTTTTTRCTGACAAGAGCTCTTTCTTTTTCGTTCGACTTGTGTTACGAATTGGCTTTTCTTCCAGCGCTGGTGCAACGACTACCTCTTTATGGTCGTTATTTTCGCTCAGTTCACGCTTGTTGTTCTGTTTCGCTTTACGACTTCGATTGKCTACAACAAAGCTTGGGCTCTTTGGTGACTGGAAGGCTGTGCAATGCTTTGAAGGAAATTTGTTGTTTACTGGAGTTGAGCAGAGTAGCATGTCCATATGCGAGAGCGCGCTTYCCTCAGGAATAGGACAGAGAGATCGRTGGTTGTTCATCCCTCGGGCTATCACTTCTTCATCGAACAGAAACACGCTGGCTTGTCTGTCAAAGGAACCTTTACCATCGCTTCCAAATGAGYAARCATTGGAAGGCTCTTGCTTGAAGCTTAAAGGCTCATTTTCAAACGAAAAGACAKTTGACTGTTCGGCTGAATTGCTTGATCCTTCGCTGTGTAAAGACACTTGAGGGGCGGAGGTTGAACCAGACTGTCTTTTAACAGGAGAAATATGCTTATCCAGGTGAATAAATGGAGAAACAATGCCATCTTCTGTAAGCAGCGKGCTAAAACAAATAGGCGAGAGCAAGAGGCTTGGAGACATGGCCAGCGAAGGTCGTTTCGAGTAGTTCTTGTTCCTCGTAAAATACAGCCAGTCGCTTAGGTTACATTCGCTCTTGATGTCTGTCGTGTCGACCTCATCATTTTCGCTTATATTCTTGAGTAAAGGAACAAGAAGTTTTTTATCTTTCTGGATTTCCTTTGAGTCTTTGTTACGAAGACGACGTTGGAGTAGAGAGGAGTTTTCTAAATTTTGCGAAAACATTGTGGAGATGCTCGCAACGATCGAGAGAAAAGTTAACATCCCTATAGGATTTGGCAGCAAATTTATCTGCTAAAATCAAAAACAACCTTTATATGGACGGTATATGCACGTGCCGCATACTTTGAAAGTCGTCGGTGATTGGCTCAAATTGTTCATTGCAGCAGCTTTTCGCTTTTCTATTGGTGGAAAGAATATTACGTCATCAGTACACGTGAGACAAATGTTTGTAGCATGTAATGTTTTTTCCCTTGATGTAAAAAAAAAAGGATTTTTCATTCAGTATGAAAAAAAACCCAGCAACAACAACAAACTAATAAGAATTTTGTAATATTGAAATATATGACACTTCTAATAATAAACGGCGTGTTTAAAAATATTAACAAAATAATTTGCAAATAGAAAATAAGAATTATTTTCGTTAACTATTGCATAACTACTTCGTTGTGCAATCATGGCAAAGAAATATATACTGACGTAAGTGGAAATTATCTATAGATAGCAAAATAAATAGTTACGATTGTTCTCACTTTCTTTGACGTCTKAAAATAATTACCTTCTGCCTATATAACGTCATGCATGTAAAAGTGCTCCGTGATTGGTTGATTTGGCTGGGCGTTCTCGCATAATGATTGGATATGTTTTAGCACTACGTAAATGTTCCTCCTGAAAGTTTATTTTCTGAGTCAAAGTCTGCATTTAGGGACTGCACAATATTTATCAGGAGGAGAGGATTGAGAGATGAGTCAAAAAATCAAAAAAGTTGATTACCCTCCTCCCCCGCGCGCCCCCTCGCAAGAGAAATAAATTATGTCCTCCCCCCCTGTGAATTTATTTATTTAGTGAATTTATTTATTTATAAAGAGTTGCTGCAAATCGTGGCACGCATTTCTTGAGGTTTTCCACTTCAATAAGTATTTGGCCAAAAAGTATACAGAATCTGATATCGTTTGATTTTTCAGTTTCTAATTAAAGATCTAGTTAATTTTAAACGTTTTCTCACACCCTCTTTAAGGACGTAAAATTAGACTTTGCCCACACCCCCCTCCGTCTGGATTCTCAGCCCCTACCCCTCCTGATAAATATTGCGCAGTCCCTTATACGTAACCACATATCTAAAAATAAAATGTATTTTTATAAGTGGTACACGAAAACCAGCATCGTAGTGGAGGTCAAGGTAAAGAGTGGTGGAGG